TTTTTTGTATACTAAATATCTCTCTGGAACATTATACTACGATCATTTTCTATCATTTTATATGCTTCTTATATATTGATCTAGTATATATGTTATATCTAAATTGAAATTTATAATTTGGTGCACTTCTCATATTATCAAAAATAACGGAGGAGTAATCCGAAACAGCGTATTTTACTATATAAATCTCGGAAAATCTGTAAGCTATAAATAAATTAATTATTCAGATACGATGCAAGAAATTTAAAACCTCAATCTCCCTATATAGAAATAATGCATAAGCTAGTGATATATTGAAAATAAATTTCTTAAATTATTAATCTAAATAAATTGACTAGAATCTCTTTGCATAGAGATAATATGCCAAAGAATAATAATCTGTACTTAAGATAGCTATTATATGCATATTGAAATAAACTGCTATTAAGAATGGTATATTTAGATCACTTCCCATGAGTTAGTTGACCTTTATTCTGTATAAAGTGACTGTGGTTATAGATTTCCTGCAGTACTTCACTATATTCTCGCACACCCCATTAACGCATACACTATTGTTTAACTTCACAATATAAAAGTCTACTCGTACGACTCACCAACGAAAGTCACTAAACTGTCTACGACGCTTGGTAGTCCTATCCTTAAGTTTACGGCTGCGGCACTGTGCTAAATTCGACTTGGGTAGTATAGAAGCTTCTCCATTAGTTGCAAGATTTTCTGCGGTAATATTTATTTTTAAAAATAAACACCGCCGCAGAAAATCATCTGGAACGGAAAAACTTGAGATACAACATTGTTGCGTACATGTGTATATTCTAGGAAGAAAATTATATAAATTATATCATTCCTTTTAATATTAATTACGGCAGTTCTATTGAAAAGAATAATCAGAATGGTTCAAGACTCAACATGCATTAAAGAACCCTTAGGACCCTTGATGAATATGTTCTTCTAGGGCGTAGTGGATTGAGGGTTTCCTTGGCGCTATGGTATACTCTTTTAATTTCTCTATCATTTTTTTTATTAATTTTTTTTTAATGGTTTTGTTTCAAGACTTTGGAGAAGAAATTTTTCTATTTTTAATATACTATGATCTCATGATACATATAAATCAATATCTTAGTAAATACAAAAAATTCTTTAATAGAAAATCGGCGCGAGTTTTGAGGACTAAAAAATTTTCAATTATTATTTTGAAAAAGACGGAAATTTCATCAGTACGTATATAGATATACAGTTCTTGAATATTAGATTATATTCCTCAGTATCGCCATCAAAAAAGTTACTATCACGCGATAAGTAAAAAATTATTTAGGATTAATTCGAGAAAAACTTTTGTTAGAATGCAAAAAGAACTTTCTTACGTAAACTTTTGATTTTTAACAAACCGAAATACTGGGGTAGTTTAGAATATTATTTTACTGATATCAAATTTACATGAAATTTTCCATCTCTAGATACTGCAAACATATATAATTTTGGAGAGGTGAATAGCACATGTTAATGGATAATAATAGCACGTATTAATTATTAAGTAAATAATATATATGCAAACTAATTCTTTTGTTTGTATGCAAAAAAAGAGCGAACGCTTTCTTGGAGAATATATCGCTGATAAATTTTCTCAAGTTGTAGTTGCCACAAAATATACTGATGTGTTGATTTGATTATTATCATAAAATATTTTACTTATGTTATCATAAAATTCGTTATTTATGCCATTTCATTTATAAAGCAAATTTAACTAGCATAATACCAAATCACAAATATAATCCAAATGGTGGTCATTATATTATTCATTTTTCACGAGTTTATGTATAAGGATATAAGTTCTGAAAGTGTTCTATTAAAGGTGGAAACCACCATAAATCTCTTGTCAAAAATCTCGATGAAAGCTTTAAACGACTGAACACTGGATATGTTTATGTCATGTCATGTATGTTCACGCTTGGGAATTTCGTACTTCTATTGAAGAAATAATGCAGGTATGTTTAGGTGTATCAGAAAAGTAGGTGCAGAAGTATCAAAAATGAATGTTTTGCCTCAGTAGCATATTACTACTAAATGATCACGTGGCCTTAGTCACATGACTAAGTATGAGCGAGGATAGAAAGTACGAGTCCATGCTATGGTGACGCATTCTGCTTTCTAGTAGCAAGTTCGAATTCACGCTACGGTGCAATACATTATATTTGCTACGCGTAACAACAATCAGGGTGTGAGAACATTCTAATTTATTATAGCAAGTTCAGGCCAACGCTATGGCTACAGTCTACATCCATACATATCTATGATTTCTGTCATACAAGTCAATAAAAATCAGGGTGATCCCCGCGATAATTATATTAGCGTGACTATCTTCAACGCATAGAGTCAACATACATTGATGAAACATCAAATATTCAGAATTTGATTGAATACAAATCATATTTTAGATTATCTACTTTTAAATTGACAATTAATCATACTATTCAAGTTATTAATGGAATTGAAACTATTTATGGGAGGACATTTTTTCTGATTTGGTTAATATTAACTGATAATACTAATATTTATTTATGGGCAAGCACTAACCCAGGGCATACGCCTTTAATAGACACGTCTAATATTTTTCTTGTGACTTTTGCGATGTATTAAGCACAGCCTTATACTTGTCAGGAGTTTGTATCCCTTTACCGAGATATTTATCAAAATTCAATGTTAAAGAATAAGGAAATGGTACTTCGCTTGATGCCGAAACATCATCCAACCTTTCCATTTGCTCAGGTGTTAATCTATTTATTTAAATTAATTAAATTATAATTAAAAATGGAGACCAAATTTAGTACAAAATTTATGGAATTTATAAAAACCTACTTGAATTCAAGAGCCTTAAGATTTTCAATTAATTGAGCTTTTGTTCTAGCACCAATAAGAGGTGATGTAACGCCAGGTTTTTGTGCGACCCAATTTAAAGCAACCTTTTTTTAATTTTTTTTAAAAAAGATTTAATTATAAAATATAGGTAATTATAAACAATTTAAGTCGTAAAATACCTGAGCTGGAGTTCTATTGATTTCAGCAGCAATAGCTGTAACTTCATCAAGGATTTTCCAATTTGTTTCACTGCTTCCTAATCTCATAATTGCGTTATTTCGCATATCGCGCATATCACCGGAATTTCTTGTGTTGGCAACCGATTCTCTGGTGTGTTTTCCAGTCAAGAATCTAATTCAAAGATTGGTAAAAATAATAAAAATAGAAATATTAATCAACTCATGCGTTATTGCATAAAGAACCAAAGAAACAATTTAAAGATGATTATTACCCTTCAGCAACACATCCCCAAGGAATAATTCCAATCTTCATAGTAAAAATTAACAAGTCAGTTATGCAATCACATTTCAAAATCCAATAATAAACAGCACTAAAAATATATTTACGCACATCAAGTTCAGCACAAGCAGATTGTATATCATATTCCAAGGATCGATTTAATAAATTATATCGCGTTTGGCATCCAATAAAAGGGCTTATATAAATCAACAAGTAGTATTACTTTCATCGTTGCGATAAAAAAAAATAATAATCATTATATTGTATGTATGGCATTACCTCCAACCACGAAGCTCGGCAATTGTATTCGCACGACTAATCACCCATGCTGGTGTATCGCTAACCGCGACATAGAGTGCCTGTAAGAATTTGTATTAAATACTAATTATTAATTACACAATCATACTGAAGAATAACATACCTTGCCACTTCTAACCACATCATCTAAAGAACGTATTACTTCCTCAATAGGAGTACGAAATTCCCAAACGTGAACGTATAAGAGATCAACGTACCCAGTGCCTAGTCGTTTAAGGCTTGCATCGATATTTTCAACAAGAGATTTGCGGTGGTTTCCACCTTTAAATAGAACCTTTTTTCAGAACTTATATCCAAATACGTAAGCTCATAAAATGAATAATAAAATTACCAGCATTTGGATTGTATCTGACATTTGGCATTAGAGCTGTACTATTCGCTTTATAAAGTTATGAATAAAGATGAATATAAAATCTATTGGAAATAACAAATTTTACAACAAAGAAATCAATAAAGAACATACCAGTATATTTGGTGGCAAGTACAACTTGAGAACGTTTATCAGCGATATATTCACCAAGAAACCGTTCGCTCTTTTTATATTAAGTAACAAAAAAAAAAAATTAGTATATGTACTAGAGAATACATGTAACCATATTATAATCATTAATCATCATTACCTCGCCAAAGTTGTAAAAATTAGCAGTATCTTAAAATTATTATTTGTAGAAAAAGGTCAAACTCGCGAAATTAAATGGCAATTATTGCAGGACTGATTAGCGTCCATATATAAACATACCGAAAAAATTTCCGCCTTTTTCGTAATAATAATCAAAAATCTCCTTAGACACCTCATAATTAGAACCTAAACCCTATTCAAAGCGCATAAAATAAAAAATTTTGTAAGCGTATAGCCTTTATGTTAAGGAAACACAATATATCAAAGAAAATTCTTACGAATGCTTCGCCAAAAGTCTTAAATTGAAACAGTTGAAAAAATAATTAAAAATTAAAAATTAAATAAAAAATAACTAGTTATTGTATTGTAATGAATTAAATATTATACCAATGCGCCAAGGCATAGGGGAGAAATTCTCAAACCACTACGTCCCAAAAGAACATAATCGTCAAGACTTCCAATGGTTTCTTTAATATCTGTTGAGTCTTGAGCCATTTGTATATTATTTTTCTCACTAACTAAAGAAATTTTCGACGCAATTTATAAGTGCGCACGCTGAATATTTTGCAATAAAATTTATTGCAGATGGTTTCCATTCAACATACGATGCAATAACCAAAATTGGAACCGTAATTTACTTGCACGTTATTCAATTTTGGTTTAGTTTGCATCAATCCGAGTGGAGGACAATTTTTTTTAACTATTGCACCATGAACTTGCATTACGTAATTATTAATAATATTAAATTTCGGAAACACTAATTTATGCATTCAGGCCGGTTGGTTCTCTTTCTTTTTTTTTTAACCTTTGCGGAACGTTGTCAAGCCGGTTCTTTTTCTTTTTTTTTTAACCTTTGCGGAACGTTGTCAGGCCGGTTCTTTTTCTTTTTTTTTTAACCATTGCGGAACGTTGTTGGGCCTTCTAACTTTGTAAGAGACCAATTAACCAAACGGCAAGCCTGTTATTAAACGATAAGATGTATAACAACTTATGAAGGATTAGACCCGTTATTTCATTACGGCGCGTTTGTAAAATACCCCAAAATTTTAAAATTTTGACCACCGATTGTGAGTCATTTAATTGACTTCAC